TTAATTCTTCCTTCTACAGTTTTCCAGGATTGATTTTGAAAATAGAAGATAGCAGCCTGTACTTCATTATCATCTTGGCAGTTATAGGTAAGGCAATAAATCTGTAAATAAGCAGAATTAGCATCTTTACATAATTTTTCTCCCCTTCATTGAATAGGATATGCTACTTCATTTGTTGATGAATTCTTTTACCTGAATTTATCAGTGGATTTGATTAATTGCCTCTATAAATATCATATATTTCTTAGGTATTATTTTTGTTTTGTTGCTCTTGTGATTGGGTTATTTTCTATTACTTGTTCTAATTAGTTACTTTTCTTTGGAAGGTTCTTGATTTTTCAATAGTGATCTCCCATGTACTATTTTTTCACGTCTCTTATTAATTCTAATTTGTATGTATATTACTTTGAATTCCCTAAATAAATGATCACATTGTCACCAAATATTATCTTTTTTTTCATTATATCCCTTAATTATTTCACTATGCATAGTTTTGGCTTTGTGTTCTAGTATACTACTCAAAGGTAAAGGTGTAAAATGCAGCTGTGTATTTTCCATATATAATGGGAACACAGCTAATGTTTTTAAAATTAAAAGTAACAGCTAACATTTTACCTGTATGTTTTATTAAGGACATGAAGAAATGGATATTCCCTTATAATTTCACTATACTGAAAGGTTTTACTGTGAGCCCAAGCTGAATTTCTTTTCTTTTTCCTTTTATTTTTGTGTGTAGGGGGCTACCAGGGATTGAACCTAGGGGTGCTTAACCACTGAGCCACATTCCCAACCCTTTTTATTTTTTACTTTGAGACAGGGTCTTGCTAAATTGCTAAGGCTGGCTTTGATCTTGTGATTCCCCTGCCTCAGCCTCCCCAGCTGCTGGGTTTTCAGGTGTGTGCCACTGCACATGGCTTGTTGAATTTCTTTCTTAGGCTTTTCCCATACCCATTGACAAATGTTTTCCCTTAATTGCTATTGTGTACAGTTACAATTGAAAATATTTTACAATTTAAATAATATCTCCATTCCTTGAATGGAGCTCTTTATCACTTAATTCACTCCTATATTGAATATGTTATAAATTTGTTTAGTATATTTATCACTACGTGACCTTGACCCAAGTGTTCTTCCCAAGGTAGGGAAAATAGTGTTCCCATCTGGTTTTTAAGTCAAGGAGAACTAGTCTAAGAGAATGAGTTAAATCATTCCTCATCTTTTTGTATGCTTTGAGAGAATTTACATAAGACAGTGATCAGTTTTTTTATGGCCACCAGTAGAGCTGAACTCCAAAACTTCTTTGCACTAGAATTTTGAGGGTATTTTGAATATTAAATACAGTTTAAATTTATGTTGGCTTTTGACTTTTGGGTACTGGCTTATTTCATTTAGCAAGATAGTTTCCAGTTCCATCTATTTATCAGCAAATGCCATAATTTCATGCTTTTTTAAGACTCAGTAATACTCCATTGTGTGTATATACCACATTTTATTTATCCATCATCTGTTGAAGGGCACCTAAATAGGTTCCATAGCTTGGCTACTGTAAATTGTACTACTATAAAGATTGATGTGGCTGTTTCACTTTAGTATGATGAATTCAGTTTCTGTGTCTTCTAAGGAATTGGCATTTGTTAGTTGTCATTATGGCTTTATAATCCACTAGTTCTGCATTTAGCTTCATTATTTCATACCTGTTATGGTTTAGATATGGTGTCCTCCAAAATCTCATGTGTGAAACAATGTAAGAAGGTTTGGAGGAAAAATGATTTGGATTATAGCTTCGGCCTAATCAGTGAATTGATCCGTGGTGGGATTAATAGAGTGGTGACTAGAGGCAGATGGGGTGTGGCTGGAGAAAGTGGCTCATTGGGGTATGGCTATGGGATATATATTTTGTATCTGGTGAGTGAAGTCTCTCTCTGCTTTCTGATCATCATGTGAGTTGTTTTCCTCTGCCACATTCTTTCCCCATGATATTCAGCCTCACCTTAAGCCCAAGGAATGGAGACGACCTTCTATGGACTAAGACCTCTGAAACTGTGAGCCCTCAAATAAACTTTTCCTCTTCTACAATTATTCTGTTTGGGTCTTTTAGCCACAGCAGCAAAAAACCTGACTAAAACAATACCTTCTACTGCTTTAGGTTTAATATGACATCCAGGCCCTAGTTTATTGAATTGCTTGGGTGATTTAAATATTTCCTGTTTTCTAGTATTTCTGTTTAAGGATGTATATTTCCTTTTGAGTACCACTTGGGTGATATTGCACAGATCATGCTATAAAGTTTTATGTGTATACATATATTTCTGATACATAAATATATACCAATTATAGATGTTTATGTTGTACTAGGTGATGTTCAAATATATGTATACTTTCTGTAATGTTTAAATGAGGTTAAATGTATCTATCTTTTCAAACATTAATTATTTACTTGTGAAAACATTCAAAATATTTTCTTCTAGCTTTTTGAAATATATAGCACATTATCATTATGTATAGTCATGCTACTGAGTATTCAACCATAAGAATTTCTCCTGTCTAATTATAACTTTGAACCCATTGATCAACCTTTCTCCATAACTCCCCAGATTCTTGTCACCACCATTCTACTCTCAACTTCTATGAGATCAACTTTTTTTTAACACTCCAAATATGTTGATGTCATTCAGTACTCATCTTTCTTTTCTGGCCTATTTCACCACATAATGATCTCCTGTTCCTAACCTGTCATCATAAATGGTAGGATTTCATTCTATTTTATGGCTGAATAGTATTCCAAGGTGTATATGTGTCATATTTTGTTTATCCATTCATCCATTGATAGGCATAGAGGTTATTTCTATTTCTTAGCTATTATAAATAGTGCTTCAATGAACATGCAGGTGCAGATGTCTCTTCAACATACTAATATTTTTTTCCTTTCAATAAGTTCCCAGTAGTGGGACTGATGGGTCATATGGTAGTTCTGCCAATTTTGTTTTATTTTTGTTTTGTGGTGCTGGGGATGGAACTCAGGACCTCTCACATGCTAGGAATATGCTCTACCACTGAGATACACTCCCAGCCCTAACCCTAGAAGCTCTATTTTTAATTTTGTGAGGGATAACATACTGATTTCCATAACGACAGAACTAATCTACATTCCCACCAATAGTGTGCAAGAGTTCCTTTTACTCCATCCTCACTAGCACTTGTTATCTTTTGTCTCCTTTTTTAAAAAAAAAAATTAGTTGTTAATAGACATATATTTATTTATTTATTCATTCATTCATTCATTTATATGTGGTACTGAGAATTGAACCCATTGCCTCACACATGCTGGGCAAGTGCTCTGCCTCTGAGCTACAACCCCAGCCCCTTTTGTCTTCTTGATAAGAGCCATTCTTCCTGGAGTGAGATGATATCTCATTGTGGTTTAAATGTGCGTTTCCCTGATAATTGTTGATGTTGAACATTTTCCATATTTGTTTGCCATTTGTACATCTTCTGTTGAAAAAATGTTTATTAAAAGCTATTGTCCGTTTTTAATTGAGTTATTTGGGGTTTTTTTTTAAATTGAGATTTGAAGTTCCTTATATGTTCTAAATATAAACTCTTCGTCATATGTAGAGTTTACAAATATTTTCTCCCATTCTGTAGGTTATCTCTTCATTTTGTTGATTGTTTCTTTTGCTGTGCAAAAGTTTTTAGTTAGATGAAATCCAATTTGTCTTATTTTTCTTTTGTTTCCTGTGCTTTTGGGTTCTCATAAAAAAAATCTTTGCCAATTCCAATGTCTAAAGATTCCTACTATGTTTTCTTCTAGTAGCTTCATAGCTTCAGTTATCACATTTCACTCTATAATCTATTCCAAGTTGATTTTTGTGACTGGTGAGAGACAAGAGTCTTCCTTTATTCTTATGAATATGCATATCCAATTTTATCAAAACCATTTGTTTCAAAAGACTGCCTTTTCTCCCCTATCACTTTTGTCAGAAATAAGTTTGTTATAGATGCAATTTTACCTCTAAGTTCTCTGAAATGCAGTGATATGTGTTGTTTATTTGAGATCTTTCTGCTTTCTAAATGTAGACATCGATTGCTATACATTGCCCTCTTAGTACTACTTTGATGTATCCCATATGGTTCTATATTTCTTATTTGTTGCAAAAACCATTTTAAATCCATTTTGAAATAAGTCCTTGATTTGTTGGCTGTTCAGGAGTTATTTAATTAACATGTATTTGTGTGGTTTCCAAAGTTTTTTCTTATTATTGATATCTATTTTATTGCATTATGCTTAGAAGAGATGCTTAAAATGATTTAAATTTTTCAAAATTTGTTAAGGCTTGTATTTTTGGCCTACCATATGATCTGTGTGAGAATGTTCCATGTACCTTGAGAAGGATGTGTATTTTTCAGTTGTTGGATGGAATGTTCTGTAGATGTCGGTTAGGTCCTTTTGGTCTAGGCTATACTTTACTATTTTTGTTGTTGAATCTGTCGGGATGAGCTGTTCATTGCTAAAAGTGCGGTGCTAAATTCCTCTCTAGTATATTTTGTATATTGGATTTATTTAGTATATTGGATTCTATCTCAAGTCTAATAATATTTGCTTTATTTATTTTGGGGCTATGATAATGGGTTCACATGTATTTGTGATTGTTATTTCCTCTTGCTGAATTGACATCTTTATTGTTAGGTAATGATCATCTTTATCTCCTGTCTTCTGATTTTGGTGTAAAGTCTATTTCATCAGAGATACCTAAGGGTATACCTGTTTCCTTTTGGATTCCATTTGAATGGATTATATTATTCCATCCCTTCACTTTCAGTCTATGAATGCAGATGTCTCTTCAATACCTTTATGGTGAGGAAAATCTGGGAATATTGTTTTCTGTCCTTCATTTCTAAATGATAGCTTTTCTCAGTACAATATTCATGGTTAGCATGTTTTTTCCTTAAGTGTGAAAGATGAAATGAATTTTTTGTAAACAACCTATGTGTATGTGTGTAAACATATATGTATATATATTGTGTGTATATATATATATATACACACACACACACACACACACACACACAACATGTATGTACACACAGATATGCACAAACATTCAGTCACTTGGAGATTTTAATCCATTTATATTTAAAGTAATTGTCAATAGCTAAGATTTTTCTGTCACTTTGTTATTTGTTTTCTAGTTTTATTATAATTCCTTTATTTCTCCCTCTTACTGTGTTTCTTTGTGGCTAATTGATTTTATTTTGTAGTGTACTTTGATTCCTGTCTTATTATTTTTAATCTATCTAGTATAGATTTATAGTTGCCTTAATTTTCAAAAAAATCTCTTGATTATAACAGGTTATTTTGAAATGATAGCAAGTTAAGTTAACTTTGTCAAGATTATAAAGACAATGAGAAAATAAATACTAATAAAATATGTTCATTTGTACTCCATTCCTCCCCATATTTTGAATTTTTAGTGGCCATCCTCTCCATATTTTGAATTTTTGGTGACTAATTTATCTATATTGTTTATCTCCTAATATATAAATGTACTTATTTTTAAAATGTTTAAAAATTCTTCATACTAAAGGTATGAATGTTTTACACAACATGTTTCCAATATTGTAACATTCTGAATTTGTCTATATAGTTACTTTTATTAGTGAGTTTTATACCTTCGTATGTTTAACCCTTACATGTTAGCATCTCTTTCTTATAGTTTGAACTCCCTTTACAGTTTTTTAGAGGACAGGTCTGGTGGGGATAATATCTCTCACCTTTATGGTGAGGAAAATCTGGGAATATTGTTTTCTCTCCTTCATGTCTAAATGATAGGTTTTCTCAGTACAATATTAGTGGTTAGCATGTTTTTTCCTTCAATACTGTGAAAGTCTCTTGCCAGTCTCACCTGGTCTGTAAGATTCCTGTTGAGAATGTTGCTCTCAGGTGAATTGGATTATCCTTATGCATTATTATTTATTCCTTTCTCTTGTTGCTCTGATAATCTCATTTGTGTTTATCTTTGAGCACTTAATGATATATTTTATAGCAGACTTTGTAGAATTAAATCTGACTGGTGGCTTTTGAACTTCCTATACCTGGATATTGTATCCATTTCTAGGTTTGGGAGATTTTCTACAATTATTTATTTGAATAGCTTTCTACCTTTCTGGCATTCTTAAGTCTCTTTTGAAATTCAGTAACAAAAATTTTTGCTCTTTTGATCCTTCCCAAAGCTCTTGTAATTGTTCTTTGTTGCTCCTCATTTTTTACTTTTTTTCTTTTCTGACTTTATATTTTATTTTTCAGTAGGCCGTCTTAAAGCTCGATAATCACTTTTTTCTTTGTACCTATTCTATTGTTGTTGATGCCCTATTTGGTGTTCTGGAGATGAAACTCAGGGCCCCATTCATGGTAGGTTTATCTCTGAGATAAACCACTAGTCCTTATCATGTTTTAAATTTTGGCCTTTATACTTTTCAGTTCAAGAATTTGTGTTTTGATTTTTATAATTACTTTAATCTGTTCCATTTTTCTTTTAAAAATATTTTTATTTGTTGATGGACCTTTATTTATTTTTTACTTATTCATATGTGGTACTAAGAATCCAACCCAGTGCCTCACACATGCTAGGCAAGTGCACTTCCACTGAGCTACAGCCCCAGACCCTGTTCCATTTTTTTCTGACAGAATAATTAATCATTTTTGTTTTATTGAAGTGCATTAAATTTCCCTAAAACATCTAATATGGATTCTCTGTGAGTTCACATATATCAGTTTCTGCCACTTTTTTTTTGTCTGTTAGACAAGGTATTAGTTCCCTAAAAGTTCTTGATGCTTGTCAGTGTGTGACATTGTTTGCACATTAAAGGATTAGATATTTATTACAGTCTTTATAGACTGGCTTTTTTGGGGTCTGTCCTTCCACAAATTCTAAGCAGGCTACCTAGTTTCTCTGAGACTGTAGTCACTTGCAATTTCAGTACTACACAGTGGCCTAAATCAAGGTTTGCTGTGAATCTGCAGTTTGTGTGATATCACTGTTGCAGCACTAGAGGGCACTCCAAACCCAAATCTGCTGTTAGTATGTTGTTCTGAATGAACTAGGCAGGGTGGCTAGAAAGTCCACCCCTGAAAGCTCCCAGTTGGGCCCAGATTGGGCCCAGATTCTGGGATCATAGTATCAGGAATTTGGGAATGCAAAAGGATTCTTGGATAGTAACATGTATGAAAGGTAAAGTGGGGAAAGATTATTGAAAGGGGGAACCAGAAGACCATGATGCCAGCCCGACAGTCTCCATAAGCCCATGGAGAGAGATTTTTAGCAAAGATTGACTGTTACATGAGGTCAATGTTAGGTGAAAATGATCAGCCACCTGTCATTCTCATTTGAGCCCACATCATCAGTCTTCACCTCATTGACCTTATCTTCATTTCCATGGGTATTACTTCCAAATAAGCCATTAGGTGAGAATCACTTGGAAGAGCTCAAAAAAGCAACCACATTCCACCTAGTGAGTCCTTTATAAAAAAAGGGAATCTGCCTGCCACATCTATGCTTCCCACATGCACATTTTTCTTTTCTTTCAGTTGGGTTGAGTCCTGACTCCCAGGCTCTCCACAATTTTGGACTATGATTGTTAACATGTTACAGGTTTTTTGTTTGTTTTTTTCCACTGAATTCTTGGACTGTTTCTTTTGGAATTGTGTCTTGCCATCTCTTTCAGTAAGATGAAGGAATTTTCAAGTCATCATTTTTAAAATTGCATCTTCACTTTTTGCTGAAATTATAACAATTCAAAACTTGTTTTTACTGCCTTGGTACATTCATGAACCATCACCTACAAGCTCACAAACAACCAGAGGTCTAGAATTTCTGTCATCTACCCCTGGCCCCATCCCCTGCTGGTTCTTGATTTTGTGGATGCACCTACATGTCTCTCCCCCGTCTCTGAACTCTCAGTTATAAGATTACAATCAACATCCTTAACTCTAATCTCTTAGGACTTGCAGCTGTAACTGTTCTCTATAACATTTGGAACTAGGATGATTCTGCAGATCCTATCATTGTCATTTACTGAAGTAGATGCCCCAAACAGGGCATTCTTGCTATCAGCTCCCCTTGAGGGGCTGCCTGTTTCTCTTCTATCTTGCTCTGCAGCAGCCCACCAAGACCAGCCCTGACTCTCTGATTCCATGGCTGAGGAAGACATCCAATTATTACTTTCTCCCTTTTTTGAGGTCAGGTGAAAAAATAAAGAATATATCCCAACATTCGGATCATTTCCTAAATAACCAGGTCAGGAATGCATGCTGACTATAGCTCACTCATCACACAAATCAAAACTCAATGAAACATTTCAGCCTCTATGTCCTGTGTGTAACAGAAGCCTTACAGAAGCCTTAAAACATAGAAGACAATGTACAGGATCATGGTGTGTACATAAACGATATGGAATGAACAGTGGGTCCAGTTTAGAGGGACCCTGAATACAGAGTAAGGAATATGAACATTATTCTGTGTAATTAAATCACAGACTTACATCACATCTGGGCTCCTCTCATCCTTTTTATTTCCTTCTCGGGGCAGGGTTGGACATACTTATGCATGTATAGACTGTCATGTACCTTCTTCACTGGGTTTTAGGAAGGGTTAAACATTTTCTGTTTAAAATGTATACATGAATACCTCAGAAGAAAGGTACCATTTAAAATTCCCATAGGAACCAATTCTTCACTCTTCTTGAGACCAAATTTGCTTCAGTAAGAAATATGTTCACTTCACGTGTCCTTTTTTTTTTTTAATTTCAGGTGAGACTCCACACCTTGGCTACCAGATATCATGGCCCCTAACCCAGGAAAGCCTGAATTTTGATGAGAAACTAAGAACACCAGCAGAGCTTTCTGATTTTGTACTGTGATTCCTCTAATGTATCATCATGGACACAATTGCATTTTAGTCATTGGCTTGTTTCTTTGCTTAGGTATCACCACACAGGCTTGACCTCTCTGTCTCTAGAATGATGACATTGCTATCCAAACATAAGTCTTGAGTCCTTTTGCCCTTAAGCAAAAGTGAAGCAGAATTATTAAGTATATTTCTCACACACCCATTTCCTTGTAATAGTTACAGAAATGTGAGGCCCAGAATTTGACTGTGAAGTCACTTGTTTCTTGTGTAATGGCATTTACATGGACATACTAGCTGAGGATGGGCCAGATGTTTATTTTATTAGGAAGAGAAATAAAATTATCTGTCTCTTAAATATGCCAGGGGGTATTTTAAGGAAATAATTTTAAGCTTCTGGAACCTATGAGAATATTGTAGCTTTGTATTAGTTTGTTTTCTGTTGCTATAACAAAATATCCAAGAGCAGATAATTTATAAAGGTTAAAATGTATTTTCCACAGTTATGGAAGCTAGAATGTCCAACAGTATGGTGCTGGCAACTAGTTGGCATCTTGTGAGAGCTTCCTTGCTGCATCATAACATGGAGAAGACCATCTCATAGAAAGACAGAGCAAGCAATCTAGCTCAGGTCTCTCTTCTTCTTAAAAAGCCACTAAGGCCATCATGGGAAATCTTCATTACCTATATAATACTAATTATACCTCAAAGGCTCCACTTCTGAATACCATTAACATGAACTTTTGTGGGATACACTCAAACCATAACAAGTGCCCTCACGCCCAGCTTAACTTTCCTTCATATTATGGTAACCTACTAGTAATTTCTTCTTGAATGCTACTGTTATCCTTCCAATGTTTGAAGGATATTGGCATAGCTGGTTCACTCTATAAAGATATTTCTCTTGTAATCATTTTGTTCTCTCATAGTCATGTGCTAATTTTCATGAAAAATGTGACTTAAAAGTTCCACATAGACAAGACTCTCTCCCTCTATTGTTGGCTGTGTATGTAGGCACTTCTCCATTCATTTGGAGAAGTGTTATTTGCACCACTGATTCTGTTTGTGTCAACATGTTACGTGTATTGTAGGCTAAATAAAGTCGATCTGACAAGGTTGTGTGTTTTTTATTTTGTTTTGGGGTTCTGGGTATCAAACCCAGAGCCTTGCACATGGTAGAGGAGTGCTATACCAGTGAACCACATTCCCAGCCCAAGGTTGTGTGAATTTTATTTAATATGTATTTCCTAATCTCCACTATTTGTTAAGGCCTGTGAAACAAGCTGAGAGTGCAGCATAATGCATAACCCCTGCCCCGAGTAGTTTATGACCTAATGGAGGGGTGTGGCTGCACAGGATGTTCATTCTTTATGGTTCTAAACTGGCTTATAATTATAAGCTATGAATAACAACAGTGCCTACTTCATGGGGTAGCTGCAGATACTAAACATATGACTATCTAAATTCCCAGTACATACATGGCATTTTTGAATGCCCATGTTTCACACAAACAAACAATCCCTTTCAACAGATTTCCCTCCCTGGCTCTAGGCACTCTTGTTTGTCCCCATTATATTGATTTGTCCTAGATGACTAGGTGTTGTTAACTTGCTTTACAATGTTTTCAAAGAGCACCCACCACCATTCTGCAGACTGAATTCCCTGTCAAATAAACCAAAGTCAAGTACCTTGAGTCATTCCAGCTAGGCCCCAGGAAAGCTAGAACAATGAAACACAACTTTAAATATAAGGTCTGCTTTGTTCCCTCTGGAACCAGCCTCCAGGGTCCCACACTAGAAATGCGGGCTGCTGTCTTTAAGACCACTGCCAAGTTGCAAAGGGGAGTAGGAAGGGACAATTTAAAAGCCACAAAATGTTTCTACTGTTTTTTGTCTTTTCATTCTTTTAGGATTTGCCTGGATGTTGCAAGCCTAAAGATTTTTAAATGATTTTTAAGCTATGATATCAATCTGTTTAATAGTTATAGTTTTATTAGATTATTCATTTCATGTAAAGTGAGTTTCAGTAGTTTCTGATTTTTTAAGAATTGTACTATTTCACCTAAGTCCTTGTAATTATATGCAAATATTTTTCTTTTTTTTTAAATTTTACTAATCTTTTTTTAAAAAATTTTATTGGTTGTTCAAAACATTACAAAGCTCATGATATATCATCTTTCATACATTTGACTCAATTGGGTTATGAACTCTCATTTTTACCCCAAATACAAATTGCAGTATCACATCGGTTACACACTCACATTTTTACATAATGGCATGTTAGTGACTGTTGTATTATGCTACCTTTCCTATCCCCTACTATCCCCCCTCCCCTCCCCTCCCATCTTCCCTCTCTATCTCATCTGCTGTTGTTCAATTCTCTCCCTTGTTTCCCCCCTTTCCCCTCACAACCTCTTATATGTAATTTTGTGTAACATTGAGGGTCTCCTACCATTTCCATATGCTTTCCCTTCTCTCTCCCTTTCTCTCCCTCCACTCGTCTCTGTTTAGTGTTAATCTTTTCCTCATGCTCTTCCTCCCTGCTCTGTTCTTAGTTGCTCTCTTTATATCAAAGAAGACATTTGGCATTTGTTTTTTTAAGGATTGGCTAGCTTTGCTTAGCATAATCTGTTGTAATGCCATCCATTTCCCTGCAAATTCTATGATTTTGTCATTTTTTAATGCTGCGTAATATTCCATTGTGTATAGATGCCACATTTTTTTTTTTTATCCATTCATCTATTGAAGGGCATCTAGGTTGGTTCCACAGTCTAGGTATTGTGAATTGTGCCACTATGATGATTGATGTAGCAGTGTCCCTGTAGCATGCTCTTATTAGGTCTTCAGGGAATAGTCCAAGAAGGGCAATAGCTGGGTCAAATGGTGGTTCCATTCCCAGCTTTCCCAGGAATCTCCATACTGCTTTCCAAATTGGCCGCACCAATTTGCAGTCCCACCAGCAATGTACAAGAGTACCCTTTTCCCCACATCCTCGCCAGCACTTGTTGTTGTTTGACTTCATAATGGCTGCCAATCTTACTGAAGTGAGATGGTATCTTAGGGTGGTTTTGATTTGCATTTCTCTGACTGCTAGAGATGGTGAGCATTTTTTCATGTACTTGTTGATTGATTGTATGTCCTCCTCTGTGAAGTGTCTGTTCAGGTCTTTGGCCCATTTGTTGATTGGGTTATTTGTTCTCTTATTGTTTAATTTTTTGAGTTCTTTGTATACTCTGGATATTAGGGCTCTATCTAAAGTGTGAGGAGTAAAAATTTGTTCCCATGAAGTAGGCTCCCTGTTTACCTCTCTTATTGTTTCTCTTGCTGAGAAAAACTTCTTAGTTTGAGTAAGTCCCATTTGTTGATTCTTGTTATTAACTCTTGGGCTATGGGCGTCCTATTAAGGAATTTGGAGCCCGACCCCACAGTATGTAGATCAACTTTTTCTTCTATCAGACGCAGTGTCTCTGAATTGTACTATTTCACCTAAGTCCTTGTAATTATATGCAAATATTTTTCTTAGTATTTACTTTTCTATCATTCTAACATCTGTAATTTAGGACCTGTGGTAACATTAACTGTTTAAATTCTGAGAGAGATAATTCGTGTAGGTTTTTTTTTCCTTTTTAACTTTGGGCACCTGGCTAGAGTTATATAGCTTTTCTCAATCTTTTGAAAAATATGGCTTGTTTGCCATCATTTTCTCTGTTTCCTAATTTCAATTTTACTGATTTTTTCTTTTCACTTCTTTGTTTCTTTTCTTCTGCTTGCTTTGGGTAAAGTGTTATTCTTCTTTTTCAAACTAGGTTAAGATGGAAAAATTTATTGATATGTAGCTTAAATAAACAAAATTCACCATTTCAAAGTATATAGTTCAATGGATTTTGGTATATATTCTAGTTGTACATCCATCATCAATTTACAGAAAATTTTCAATGCTCCCCAAAGAAATAACCTACCTGTTATGAATGACATTTCATTCCCATTTTCCTTAGACCAAGGTAAGCACTAATTAATTTTCTGTCTCTTTTAGATCTTCTTATTTGTGACATTTTTTTAAATAAATGGAATTATAAAATATGTAGTCTTTTGTGTTGGGCTTCTTAGACACAGTATATTCAAGGCTCCTACATATACTATTTGGCACTAATTTATTTGGCTAATATATTTCCCTTGTGTGAATCTGCATGTGGGCTTTTCATTTTCTCATTTTCCTTTGAGGCAAAAACAGTTCTAATTTCAACAAAGTCCAGTTTATTTATTCTTTGTAACTTGTGTTATCTATCTCACTGACACTTGTGACATTCCATGTTCAGTAACCCTAATGAAACTGTCCTGTGAAAAAGAAATGTAGAAAGCTTGTGGTGGTGGTGGGGAGAAGGCATTGAAAAGAGTACCACCTAGCTGGGCAAAGAAAGTATTCACTCTGAGAATTTCTCACTGAACCCAGCAGCAATATCCAGCTGTCTGTAGTATTGACTATCTATAGGGGTAGGATTCTGGCAGTCTAGGGGTACTGCCAACCCAAATATGGAAAGAAGAAACAAAGAAGAATAGTGTTATCACGTGTTTGTAGAAATAAAGGAGGTTTCCCTTGTGTCCAGAAACTAACTGGTATTCAACCCCCCTTCCCTACCTTACAGTACAATGAAGTAGAGTTCCAAATAAAACTAGTCCATGGCATCCACACATCCTTCTTGTATTCTTTGCCACTTTACTCTTTTTATTTTCAAACTTACCACAAGATTTATAATAATGAAAATAGTATTGTACTGGAATAATGTAGATCAATGGAATTGAATTGAGAGTTCAGAAATAAACATTTGTAGTCAAATGATTCATAAGTCCCAGGGGATGGTTAATGGGAAAAACGAGGAACAGTGGAATGACATTAACCAAACTATCCTGTGTACATACAGTGAATTCCACTATATATATATATATATATATATATATAT